TTCGTCTTCTTCTCCCCTTCGGCCTTTTGCTCAATAGATGAGAGAACACGCGATGAGGAGCGACGAGCCCCAACAACATTCTTATAGGCAACCTTTGAAATTACTTAAATTTAACGAATCAAAAAGATAAAAACCGAGAGAAGATTGCGCTCCTCATTGGACAGTTCGTCTCCAAATTCGGTAACCTTCTTCATTGACTCTGCCATGTCATCATAACGCTCAGCCTGTTCGGCGAGTTTGGCAAGCTGTACAAGTTCCACCTTGGACTCAGTCACCTTGTCAGAGCAATCCAACATTGTCTCCGTCATTATTCTTGAAATAAAATTAAGCGTAAAAAGATAATATGTAATACTGAAAGTAAGAAGTAAATTATAAAATTGATAATTGAAAAAATGTGGGGATGAAAAGATTAGATAATTAAACTAGAAAGGAAACAAACGTCTTCAAGAAGTGCTTATCAGGGAAATAGACAATAATATGGAGTCAACAAGTTATTTTTAAAAACGGTCTGAACTTACAAGCGAAATAGGGAAAGCTAGTTTAAATAAAACAAAGAATCCAAACCACTTAAAACCAAAAGAAAGATAAATAGTATTGGTTATACTAGCGCCAAGCTTAAATGCATAAAAAACCTATCTAGATATCACTATCATTTCAGACTGAAGATTTCCAAATCAAATCGAAGAAAAAATCAGAAAACGGGAAGAAGAAAGCTTGAAAATGAGTAACACAAAAGTTTTAAAACAAATTTTAAAAGAATGGATAAAATGTCGAAAATTTAAACACAATGCCACACTTATTTTGGGTACGGCCCACCTTGTCGCGCGGCCACCTTGTCGCAGAGCCATAACTTCCTTCAAGTTTTCCGAATCTTACCAAATTTAGTATTAAACGAGACCTCTCATCGAGCCAAAGAGATTGGTACCAAAATTGATAAGGGCCAGAAATTTTTTAGCAAGTTATGGCTCTGCGACAAGGTGGCCGCGCGACAAGGTGGGCGTGTCCCACTTATTTTGACATTAAATTTAAGTGAAAATTTAAAAAGATTTTTAACTGACTGTTTGAGAAGGAATTTTTCCCTTTAAAAATTCTATCTTCTAAGATAATCTAAAGTTGAAAATTTTAGTAAAATTTTGTTTTTCAAAAATAAATCAATAAATTAATTATCTTTCCCTTTGTTTTTCTCTTCAATATTTTCTCTTAATTTTTAATTCAAAAATTTTTTGCCATAAAATGATTCTAAAAATAAAAAAGAAAAATAAATTCTCTAGAGAATAATTCCTCCACTATTTTTTACCACTTTTTTATGTTAGCGAGAATGGTTGGGATATAAACTATTGAAAAACAAAAAAAGAGGAACAAAAAGTGAGCAAGATTAATTTCTGTATTTCTTATAAAGGAAGGACTTTTACTTCCATAAACTTTAATAAAAATAATGTTTTGCTTAAAATTCGCTTTAAAAACACAAAAATTTTATTGAATTTATGAAGTATTGCATTTTACGAATATCTTTGAAAATCTTCGGATATCCAGAACCGAACCGAAGAACCGACCCGAAAAATCATCGGTTCTTCGGTTCGGTTCTGTTAGGTCCAGAACCGACAACCCTATTATTATAATTAAGACAGATCACTCCTCTTCTTATTAAATAGGCACAGTAAAAACCTCAAAACACCCCAATCGTACCTGATATAAATAAATAATTAGATCCGATTATTTAAATTTCAACTCAAAATCCCAACAAATATACCTAACTCTCATTTTACTCAGTTTTTGTGATTGGATATGTATACCTGGATCTTGCTGTCCTGTTTCCAATTTCTAAACTTTAGAATTTATTTTAATGTCGTAAGAATCCCTGCTATATTTAAATATCTTAAAACAATTTTTTACTATATTTTCATAAAAATAAAGATTTACTGTCCTTCTATGGAAACCTCTTTTTTTATTTTATTTATTATATTTTCGGACAAATTTTTTTTGAAATGTATACGAATTATTTACGTAATATATCATACAATGAATGCCAAAAATGGAAAGAGCAGCGAGTAGTTTTTTTTCTTGCAAAAAATTGACTTTTCCTATTTTTGGGTTCCAATGAAAGGGCAAAACACAAAGGAGATTTGTTTAACCAAAAAAACTAAATAAGGAGAAAAGTAATGCCAAAAAACTAAAAAGAAATTAAACAAATGAAAATTTTAAAAAAATTTTGAAATATAATTATTTGCTATTTTAGATAGAAAATTTGTTCCTAGATTCTGATTAATTTTTAATTTTTTTGTTAAAGGAGTCATTAATTTTCTCAATAATTTTATATTCAGCTACTACTTTATAATTTTACACAAAAATTCTTTAGATTGGCTAACCAAAAACTAATAAGATTTTTTAAGAATAATGAAAAAGAATATTAATTATTTAAGGATGATTCACCTAGAGTATTTAAAACGCTTACGCGGAGGTTAAGCGATCTAAAAGAATAAAAGAGAAAGCATTAGTCGATGCCCCGATAGCTCTGTGGTAGAGCTCCTATAAGCGGTGAGCGAAGCGCCTATCAATGCGCCTAGCAATAACTGTCAGGAGATCGTTGGGTCGAATCCTGCACGGTGTCCTGAATCCTGCTCTTTTGCTAAACTCTTATTTAATTTAAAAAGTTAATTTAGTCATTTTATTTTTTAGGTCATTTTATTTTAATTAATATACATTAAAATTAAATTGTCTGATCATATTTTTAATTTAACAAATCAAAATTCAATTTTATTTTTTTCAATTCAAACATCATTTTATTTCGGAATATATTCTTCTTTACACCAAATGCCACCAAAATATTTTATTTTTTAGCCGCCCTTAGGCACTTTTCCTTAGAGCTATCTACTCCTTAACTTTCTCCTTCAACATTTTCGCGCCAGCATTTTTTACATTTTTTTATTTTTTTATAGAAAATGTTAGGGTCTCCAAATCAATTATGCCTTTGGTTGGTTGCTATTTTTTATTGTTAAAATATTCAAAGAAATACTTTTATTTTTAACAATTTTCTTTTAAAGCAATAAATAGGAAAAAACATTTAAAGTCAATGTATTTTATTCGAAAATTTATTTTTAATTTTAAAATTTTTTTCAAAAAGAACAAAAGTTCAAAACAATTTAAATATAGGTAATTTTTTAAATTAAATTAAAGCTAGTATAAAATTTAAATAGAAAATTTGTTTTTTTTCATTTAAAAGTTTACATATTTAATTATTTATTTTATTTTTAATTTAAAATATGTAAAATGTTCAAGTTTTGTTTTCTTCAAAATTAAATTATTCTAACTTTTATTAAATAAATTAATTTTTTAAATAAATTTAATTTATTTTAAAAATTAAATTTTTTTTATTAAATTAATTAATTTAAATAATAAAGCCGTTTAAAAGTGACGTTACTTTAAATTTTTTAAAATAATTTCATAAAATAAAATCTTAAAAAATTTTTGATTAAAAAATTAGTGAAGAAAGCAAATAAATTATTTTTTGGAGAAATAATTTTTCTTTCTTTAATTTGCCCAATTACTACATATTATTTGTTCTCAAAATTATTACTAAGAGGTCTATAAAAAATTTTTTATAATTTTTTTTCAATTTTTTACTGCTTCAAAATCACCCAAATATCCATTAAATATTTATTAAATTATTTCTGAATTTTTCAAAAATAAAAATAACTGAACAATAATTTATTTTTATTTTTTTTCTTTTTTTTTGCACTTAAGAATTTATTTTTAAATTTCCAAATCAAAATTAATTTAAATCTTTGTCAGACTGTCAAATTAAAATTAAAAGAAAATAAAAAATATTTACTAATTTAGCATTAAAAAATAGCGTCATCCAAAAGAAAAACTTTTTTTTAATTAAATAAAAAATATTTTTATTTTAGGTAGACTTTTTTTTTCTTTTAATTTTAGAAAATGACAAAAATATTTATTTATTTTTTTGCTACTTTTACAAAATCCCACGGGAGATTTTGTTTGATTTCTTGCTTTTTTTTGAAAGATTTTTTATTTGTGCACTTTATTTTTAAATTTTAACCTTAAATTTTTTTATACTTTTATTTAAATAAAATTTTATTTTTAAGATTTAAGGAAGTAATCCCTCATTTTTTTAATATTTACATCCTTCATATTCCTGATTCCTCAATTTCTACCTAGAGACCCCGTTCCCCGAACGATTTTTTTCAGATTTTCCCCGACCCGTTCTCCACCCCTAAACAATTCGAAAACCCCCGTACCCCGACACAACCGCCCCCCTACTTACAATTAAATGCTGAGTGTTTTTAATAATCTTCTTTGATTTTGATTCTTTCTTGTTTCTTATATAATGACAATTCTAGTTTTCAAAATTATATTTAAATGCTTTTTGAGTTAAATGCCAAAAAAATTTTTTATAAAAAAAGGCAAAAATTCGTTTTTTTTTCATTAGAAATTGAGACCTCCTATTTTTTACATTTACATTCAAATAAAAATATTTATAAAAATAATAACATTTACACCAAACAAAACAAATAATAATAGCTTTTTTTAAAAGAAAATTTGTGTGTGTTTTTAATATTTTTCTTTTAATTTTTTATTTAATTATTTTAATATATTTAAAGATTTTAAAGGAGAAAAAATAAAAATAATTATGGCAACGAGTCTATAAATAAATGAAAAACATCGAAAATATATTTATTGGATTTACCATTAATATTAAAAATAGTATACAAATTTATTAGGGTTGGTTTATAAAAAACAGGCAAAAAATGTTCCCGTAAGTCGGGGAATTTGAGAAATTTTTGAAAATTCCCTGTCCCCGCCCCCCCGTGCCTGTCTCCCCGAAAAACTTTCCCCGTGGTCCTTCCTCACGTATGACTTGAGTATATTTTAATTACAAAATTTTAAAAAGAAATATAGCTTGTCCGAATACTTATCTTTTAATTTATTAATCCAAATCCAAAAAATAATTTCCTTTATCATTTCTTTTTTATTTTTCAGGATTTCAAAAAAATAAAATGGCAGAACATAAACTTTCTATTCCTACTTTATCTCCAAAAAATAAAAATAATAAAAGTAGCAGTACACATTCCTCCCCAACAAAATTATTTCATACTTCTTCACCAACACATTCTTTACTATATCTTCGACCTATTAGCCCTTCATTACCAAATAAAAGAAGGCAATTATTCCCAGGAAAGGCCCACAGATCACTTTCACAATCTACAAGTTCTACAACTGTACATTGGTTAAATAATAATATTGAAAATGGAGATAATGGGAAAATAAATTTTGGAAATGGATTGATTGCTATTTTACAAAAAGGTGCTTTTTCTTTTAGAAAAATTTAAAAAATTAATTTAATTTTATTTAGCCCTCTGCACCAACAACAATTCTCAACAAAATAATTACCGAACCGTTTTAACAAATCGAAGAGAGTCCCCCGATTCTGGACTTGAATTGGAACAACGAACTGAAGTTAGTGGTTCTGGTAATGAAGAAATTAATGAAAGTAATGGAGAACGTAAATTATCGTCAGCAAAACAGCAAAATAAAAAGGTAGGAAAAACACAGAATTTAATAAATCTGTCTAGTTTTTACTTTTTTGCGGGGTTAGTAGAAAGAATTTATATTTATCCAAACTCGTTATTTTTTAAAAATTTTATTTTAAAATTAGAACCAGACATTTATACCAAGTTATGTTAAACAATTTTTGGGTTGTTTAGTAAGTAGAGTTGCACACTGATCCCGTTTCCGAACGATTTTTTCACAATTTTCCCCGACCCGAACCCTCCCCCGAAACAATTTAGAGATCTCGTACCCCGACACATCCTCCCTGACCTTAATTCCTAACCTGACCTTAATTCCTAATTAATTCCCTAACCTGGATATCGGTTGAGACAATAATGTCTCTAAAATATTACAAGAGATTTTATTCTCCAAACAAATTTAATAAATTTAAGGTAAAATTAAATATACATATAAATTCCATTATTTAAATTGTTTTTATTTAATTTTATTCTAAAATAGTCAAAAAACCCAAAAATTAAATAAATAAATTTATTTAAACTTAATTTATATCTTCTCCTTTTTTCTATTTTTTTATTTTTTAATTTAAAAATCCCCTTTCTCCTCTCCCAAATTTTCATTTTCTTATTTTCATTTTATTTTTTATATCTACTTTTCCTATACCCACAATATCAAAACCCCAATAGTCAACAATTCAGAATAAAATTTTTGTTCGGAGATATTTGGATTCGGGGAAATTGAGGAGTTGAAAAATTTCAATTTTTGGTTATTTTAAACATAAAATTATTTGAGAAAGGACTAAAAAATGAGTATATGTAGATATACTAAAATTAGAAACTGAATTAAGAGCACGAGCCGGTCATTGGGTAAATTTCTATTTTTATTTGAATACTATTTTGGTTGGATTTAAATTTTAAATTCTATAAAGTTTCAGTTAACTTGAAAATTATAATTATTTTAATGATTTTGTTTTTTTCTCATTAACCTATCAGGATTTCTTCATTTATTATTCTTGATTTTCTGGAGTTAAAAATCGAAAGAAACTAGAAGAATTTTAGATTATATCCCAAATATTTAATATACTAATTAATAATTTTTTAAAATTTTATATGAAATCTTTAAATCTTGAGCTCTATCATTTTATAAATAACCTAAAAATATTTTTTGAAAATTCCTTAACTTCCTAAATATTTTGTAGTTTAATTTTAGTTTATAAAATAAAAATGAGGACGACCAAAGAATATTTTTCTAATATTAAAATATTTAAGTATACTATTTTTAAGTACTCTTTCTATACTTGGAAATAAACATATTTGGCAAATAATTTACTTAAAAATATTTTTTTAACATTTTTTATTTCCTTTTTTTTTAATTTTTAGATTTATTTTAATTTTCTATTTCCATTTATTTTTATTAAATTAAAAAAAATTAAATTAATAAAAAAAATTTTTTTTTGCAATTTTTACTTGTAAATTAATTTTAATTTTTTTAATTTGCGTGATTTTAATATTTTTAAATTTAATTTTTATATTTATTATATCGTCATAAATTAAATTTTGTTTCATTTTACTCTTTAAAATGTTGTAATTTTAATTAAAAAAATTTTTTTACGAATTATTTTTTAAATAATTTGTCACGCTTGATATACCAAAAAGTTTAATAAACAATTTATATTTTCTGCATAATTAAATCTTTTAAACAATTTATATTTTATATTTAAATTTTAAAATATTTATTTCACCTAATTTCACACTTTAATAATAAAATTTTTTATTTCCTTAAATTTTGTTAGGTTTTAAAATTTTTTATTTAATTGGTGTTCCTTTATTTGTTAGGTAATTGGTTTTGAACAAGTAATCTTTCTAAAAAATATTATATTCTACTTATGTACATATCTCTAAAATAAACAATTTTTATGAAAAGGAAGCAGTTAATGGATTTAATTACCATTAATCAAATCCAGAAAGTTACCAATTGCTTATTTATAACAACAACTTTACAGAGATAATCTTTATATTTTTATATCTAATCTCTCTAAAAATTGTAGAATTTTTGTTAATTATTTCGAAAATTATATTAAGAAAGTTCAATGTTCTATAAAAAAATGTTTTATCATCTATAGTTTTTTACATAGTACCGTGAATTCCCCGTTAATACATACAACAAAAATTAAAGAGAACTTTGTGTACTATTATCTATCAAAAATTTATCTCTGAGCTTTAATTGTTTATTTTACACCCCCCCCCCTCCCCAACTTCCCTTAACCTATTATATTCATCCTATCCATTCAAACCTATTATTTATTACAAGCTCTTTTTCATAATAAAACCTTTTTTTATTTTTTTTAAATTTTAAAATTCCACTGTTCACATCATTTCTCATTTCCGTTTTTTAAAATTTAAACGATTACAAACCTCTACTAAATATATAAAAATTATTTTTATAATCCTCGTTTAATATTACAAATTTTTTACCGTTCCATTCCTGCAAAATAAATATTTTTTAATGTTTTATTTTTTTCTAATCCTTTTCTCCATGCATTTAAAATGCGGCATTTTTGAAAAATCCTTTTTATCTACAAAAAATTATTTTAAATAAGTGGGGCATTTAAATAAATCTTTTTTTGTATTTAATGTTTAAGCTTAAGAGGAAATTAAGCGATGGATATAAAATACATAATCCTTTCTGGGCTAATAATCCCTTTTTTAAAATTAGAGGTTTGGGATTTTTAAGGAAATTATTGAGATATTCTTAAAGCAGGGCTGTAAAAAAAGTACATAGGGAGAAAATTTGCAAATAAAAAGTACACTCAAAATTAAATTTGAAAATATTTATTCGTGATCAATCTTTTATATTTCTCTCCTAAATTAATCTTTTCTAATAATTTCTTGTTTCAACTGAGCATTTTGTGCATTTCATTGCATGACATGTCAAAATTTGCTGTCACATGAAGCAAAGCTCTGACAGTCAACCTCAAGCGAGTTTCTTTCCTTCGTCCATTGAATGTTTGCCATTGAGAAGCGCCGCAGGCGAAAATTTTTTGAAATTTGGAGCCTAAGAAGCCAGATTTCTTCTTTTTCAGCGCCGCAGGCGAAAATTTTAAGAATTTTGGAGGTCCTTAAGCCAGATTTCTTCCATTTTTTGCGCCGCAGGCGAAAATTTTGAGAATTTTGGAGGTCCCTAAGCCAGATTTATTCCATTTTTTGCGCCGCAGGCGAAAATTTTGAGAATTTTGGAGGTCCTTAAGCCAGATTTCTTCGTTTTTTCAAAAATGTTGATAAAAAAGTACATACTTTCAAAAAAGTACAAATTCAATTTCGGAAGTACGAAGGTCGATAAAAAAGTACAATACTTTTAAAAAAGTACGAATCGGAGCCCTGTCTTAAAGGCTTATTATTTCTTGACACACTTTAATAGTTTTTAAATTTGAGAATTTTAAATTATTTTTTTGAATAGGACCTATACTTAGGACCTAAAAATAGGACCTAATCTTAGGACCTATACTTCCCTTAAATTGGTATCGTTATTCTTTAATTATTTAGTTATTAGGATGTGGGAGATCTCGAATAAAAATCTGGGATATCGAGATTAATATCTTTCAGGATATTTATTCTTCGATTCTTGTACGATCCTCACAGTCCTTTACTCTTTTATATTATCTAAAGTCAAAGAAATAAGAAGCTAATCTCTATTAAAATTTTAATCTCGTTTAGTTCCTAAAAATAATTCTGTTAATTTTTCAAATTTATTTTAGACTTTGATTTTCTAAATTATTTTCCCTTCCCCCTATTTTTAAAAATACAAAAATAAAATTATTTACAAGTTTTGCATAAATTCTAAATTAAATTTTTTTCAAAACAAAACAAAACAATTTTCTTTTAAACATTAAAAATCTTTTTTTTCTTTCAATTTCTTCCAATACTTCTTTTGTTTTTAATGTAATTGATGTATTTCCGGTTAAAATAAGCAACTTATAAAAGTGTTAATAAAAACTTTACTTAAAACAAAACTTTTTTTTACTTGTTCTTTTTTGCAAACAAAAGAATATAAAGTTGGTAAAAAATATATAGAGGGGAGGAGGGGGGGGAGGAAGGGGGGGGCGGTAGGGAAAAAGGGGGTAGAGGGGGAGGGGAAGAGGAGGAGGAGGAGGGGGAAGTTTGTTTCCTCTCCCCCAATTGTTTCTATTTTTTTTTTCAATTATTTTCTTGATATAAATTATTTAAACAAACACTCCCCTTATTTTAGTTTTTTGGGCAAAAGATATTTGTGAGAGTAAAAAATAAAATAAAAAATAATAATCATTGTTATAATACCAAAAATAATTATTTTTTGTTAAACTTTTTTTAAAAATAAATAAATATTTGGTTTAGTTCTCTTAAATATTTTTTAAATTAGCCAAACCTTTTTTTAAAATATTCTAACATTTAATAAAATAAAAAATAAAAATTATTATTTTCTCTAAATTATTTAATTAAATTTTTATCTAAAAAGGTTTGGCTATTTATATTATAAATTAATTTATTAATTCTTTCAAGTATTTTTTGTATTGGAAAAGTAATTAATTCTCTCCTCAATAAGATTTTCCGAGAAATTCTTTTCAATATCCGGAAACAATCTTAAATATTTCTCTTCCTTCTCTAAATAAATTTAATTTTTAATTTTTACCAAACACCTTTTTGTATCTTTTATTACTTTTTTTTATTCTTTATTAAAAATTAAGTAATTGCATTATTTTTCTTGATTTTTGGCTTTGCGCTGCGTTTAGTATTTTTTAAAGATTGTCTTTTGCACTCACTTCTGTTTCCAACAAACAAAATTTTTTGAGATGAAAATGAGAGTAGGGTTGTCGGTTTCATCAAATTCTTCCACCGGAAATCTTCGTGTTTTCGGTTCGATTCGGTTTGAAACCGGCAACCCTAAATCAGTAACATATATTGGCATTTATCAATTATATTTTAAAAATTTAAATATGATTTTTTTCTATATTCTTTTTTTAATTTTAAGAAATATTTTCTTCATTCAATTTCTCTCTCTCCCTTTTCTTTCCTCTTTTTTAAAATTTATTCTTTTGTTTCTTTTTTAACAAAAAATATTTATTTATTTATTATTAACACATTAAGCACCTTTATTATTTAAATGATTTCATTCATTTTATCCTCTTCAGAAAAATAATTATT